CCACTAAATTGGTCATGTGACTAGGACATAAGGGTGTGCAGGGACTCCAGTATGGAGGACAGAACCTATCATTATTGGAAATAAAAGCACAGAGATGGAGGTTTGAAATAGTTGTTGGAGATTTGTGAATCTGCACCATCGTAAGTCACTTTTTGTAATAGTATAAACAAGAGAGTTTTATATTGTGTGCTTTGACTTTGAAAAAAGTCAGAGCATCACTTTTCTGTTTCTCTGTCGGGAGTTAAGTAAGGATTTTATCTTTTCTTTTCTTTTTTTTTTTTGTAGGTAAATATATGGTTTAGTGGATAGTTTTGTTTGATAATACTTAAATTAAATAAAACTAGCAACACATTAAGTTCTGTTTTATTTACTTTAAAGAAGTGAGGAGTAGGGAGACGAAAAATTATGTTTTTTTTATACTGAGACTGGATGATTTGATCTCGGCAAGCAGATGACTTCAAAAGTAGCTCTTGGTTCAAAAACGGTTGGGCACCCCTGTCCTACAGCACTACCTTCTGCAACCCATGCACCCTCACGAAGTGATGTGTGTACAGGTTGCAGTGGCCACAGCAACAATAGTTATGGTTGTAGAGCTGGTAAAGAAAGAAAGTAGGGTGTCCTCATGTTATGAATCAGCACACTGACTTTARTTTGTGAGTACATTTAGTGTGTTTGTGTGAGTGACTCACGTTCAACTATGACTTTTACAGTTTGTGTCATGGCGGTGCCCAGAGTGTTGGAGGCATAGCAGCGGTAGTGCCCGGCATAGGATTCCAGGGGCTCTTCTTTTTGGGCTTTTAATGTCCCAGATCCTGTTGTCTTAAGCCCAAAATCCTCCCCATCCTTCTCCCAACGGAAGCTGAAGGCAGAGTAGACAAASCACCGGCGTTACATTAACACTTTAACAATAAAAGGTATAGCAAATGAGCCAAATTAGATTATAATAGATGTTTTTTAAAAAAAGTCATGTTATGAAGCATTCTCTGATATGGACATATACTCAGTGAGCTAAAGGGCACAACTAGTTTATAACAGTAAAAAAATATAAAATRAGGTGTGAAATTGTGTTCTGACCTGCAACTGAAGGCAAAAGGGTGATTTTTTTTGTCTGCATTTGTTTGTACTGCAAGGTAAACGTAACACAAGCCAGCAAATAAACATGGATAAATGCAAAAAGAAAGTTTTATTGTAAGGTTTAAAACAGTATAAGGCTCCGTTATGATATCTATACGTGTTTATTTGTCATAAATAAACAGTGTACTTGTCTTACACTTTACAATAAGACTCCCTTTGATAATTGTGGTTATGTYTTATACAGTAATACAGTACAATAAAAGTAGATGTAAATATGTACATGAACACATTTGGCTCACTATTTGGCAAGAAACCAGACAGTTTTGTCTCTTTCTCATCTTTAATTAGTGCATAATCAATGTTGTATAAAGTACCTCAAAGTGATACTTGAGTAAAAGTACAAGTATCTTATCATAAAAATACTTTGGTAAAAGTTAAAA